CGAAAACTTCCACCAAAATCTGAAAAACCTTCTGACTAAGATAATCTTGGAGAATATGTGAGTGCTACCCACCTGCCGTTTGGTCTGGGCTGGAAAGCTAAAACCAATATATCTGGTTTGGTATGTGGATAGCGTGCAGCATGCAAAGTTTTCTTTCTATTCATAGAATCACAGAATGGTTTGGGTTGGAAGGAACCTTAAAGATCATCTGATTCCAAACCCCAACATGGGCAGGGACACCTTCCATTAGACCAGGTTGCTCAAAGCCTCATCCCCGTCTTAACTTTGTGTGTGATTAATTTTGAGTGTGCCTTGGGCATAATCACACAGGCTGGGATGAGCAGAGTTGAACGAAATATGTCATCTGAGTAGAATGGCAAACAAAACACAGCCATGGGCACAGAGGGTTTTTCCATGACTTTTGGAATGGGTATGGGACTCATTCACATAAGGCAACCCCCCTTTTATCCTAACAATTCACTTGTGTGGTGGAAAAATGATAAAACTTTGAGGGCTAGATTTCAGCACTACAGAATCTGCTTGGGTAGTACCTAGATGCCCGTCTACTTACGACCTTGGTGTAAGTGTGGAGGCACTGTATGTGATAGAGCATAAGTGAGGTGGTGGCAAAGTATAGCAATTCTGCATGTGTGCCCATCACTTTGATAAAGCCTGGGAGAAAAGTACATGGTGTACTTATAAAGAAGTAATAGTCCGTCACCAGTTCGCTTACCATCACCAGTGACAGCCTTTCCTTGGCATAAGCAGTTTCTCGCCCCTGCTTACTGCTGCAGCCCTGGTGACCTTTCTGTCAGGGATAAGCCACTCTAAATGCTTTTGTTACCTTTTTTCTTTTCATTTCTCCCTCCTCCCCCACCAAGCACTGCTGATACTGTTTTTCCTTCACTTTTTCACAGTTCTGCTTGGAGGAATGAAGCACAAGCGAGTCAGAGTAAGTAGTAACTCATACCTCGATACAATTAATGTTTCCTGAGGTCATTGTTTAGAATACTGCATCACAATGTGTTTTCTTAATGTAGCACAGGGATACACCCATTTGCCTTAGATGAAGGTGTATGACTGTAGCATCACAGAGCTTAGCAGAGGCCAAATAGCTTGTATTTAGATCTGTGCAAAATTGTTTCCAGTCCTCAAGCAATTCCATTTAATGCTCCGTCTCTTGCTGCCTTCCAAAGTGCAATTAATTATTTGCAAGCATTTGAAAGTGAAGCACTCTGACCTCCCCATTCAAGTCATAAAGTCATGTCCATACTCAATAATAAGGATATATATAGGGGAATACCTTATCTTTGCACATCTAGACAATTCTGTGCATTCTTTTTCTTCCATGCATCAGGAAGTACACTGCATATATTCATAACTGTTTTTTCTCACCTTTCTAAACTGTGATGTAATTAAAGAATGCAAACTCTTAACAATAGTATCACAGGCAATGAGTTACATCCCAGTTAGGTGTTCCATGCAGCTACAACACTTTTTCTCCCCAAGCAGTGTTCTTTACAACTGTAGCACTTGGAGTCTTACACAGGAGAACTGGTACATGATAGACTACTCTGAGGTCTGCACGCATCTTCCTTACCCTTTTCTTTGCCTGCAGAGGAGATAATGCCCAACAGCTAAACAGTATGGCAAGACCTGGAAATACACTGTCCCTCAAAGTTTTCATAGCCTGTAAACACGTAGAGGGAATAAACTTGTGTAATGCTAATACAGTAAATAAAGCAGTTGCTTACATTAAACAATGTTCTAGTGTTACCAAGACACGTAATGCTTTTTCCTGTATCCTTGACACTATCCTGCCTTAGAGGAAATGAGAGCAAGTATAACACAGTAGTATAACACATTAGCTAGCTCTTCACAACCCAGAGGCAGGGCTCTTGGAGCACCACCCAGGGGCTTTGCTCTGACACTCATGTCTTCGTATTCATTAGAAGAATATTTAGCCCTGTTGCAATGAGATTGTCTTCTAGGAAATGGGTTATTTTACTATTGTATAAATGAAATATCTGACATATATTACATAGGGGCCAAGGCAGTGATTGATTTAAAGAACAGATATTCCAACTGACTGATCTACATTAGCATAAAAACGTGGATGGCTACTGCTCTCCTCCCAGCTGCTTTGTGAATTTACCTATATTTGTCTTGCACTGTACCATCTTTTCATGTGATGCTTGGAGAAGCCTGTTTGTCCTTCCAGTGTCATGAGGAGGCCTTCAGAGACTACCCTTTTGCAGAGTAAAAATGATATGAAGCCAGGCAGGAGCACTTAAGTTGTATACTTCCCAGGGCCACTAGCGGAGAAGCACTTACATCCTGGTAGTCAGAGATTCCAGGGTCTGGTGTCATCATGTGCTGCCAGGCCTAACAGACCCATTTTTTAATGCCTCAGTCTCCCTGCCTCGACTGGTCGACATGGACTGGAGGATGGACATCAAGACATCTTCAGACAGCATCAGCAGAATGGCAGTTCCTACTTGCCTGCTTCAGTTAAAGGTAATGTCAATGGCTGTAAAGGATACAGGATAAAACCACATCCAGCACCTGTCTTGCCACTGATAGTGCAAACCAGGGCAGACAGGTATCTGGTGCTTGCCCTATTGCCTGATAGGCAGTCAAGCAGAGATGATCTTTGAAATACCACAGGCCCTGGAAATGATGTCTCTCCTTCTTTTTCTTGCAAGGGAGAGTTTTGTTTGCATGAGGATGCGAGAAGGCAGTGTATTTGTTCCTGCTCACCATTGCTCTCTACAGAAAAAACGAAGATAAATTATAAAGTCATCTCCCTTTAATTCTAAGCCACTCATCGGCACGTTTAGCTGACTGCATTAGTTGGGAAATTACTTCTGATTCCTAATAACTTCCTTCAGTGGCCATATCTATCATTTGGGGAGTATAGCTGAACTTGCTGCTTATATTCTACAGAGTTCTGGATCTCCCCAACCAGTAAAAGTGCGATGAGTGGGTTTCAGGAGAGATGGGGGGAAAAAAACCCTAATTTCTGTGTGTGGGATGGGGTGAAGTATCCTATGCAGTATCTGCTAAGATGTTTTTGATACAGATGTGGCTTCCTGCTATGAGTCTCTTAAAGATTTCCATGTACCCGTGGCAGTCTGTGCTCACTTGTACACTGTCAGTGGGAGCATGCTTCATTAGTGAGGCACATACCTCAGAAAATGTTCCATGGTCCTTCAGAATGGAGCTGGATGCCAAATTTAAGCCATTTTTCTTAATCTAGCTATTAAACATTGATTTTCATAATGGTGCTGAAAAAACACATGAATAAATTTTTCATCAGCTAATGTCTGCATTCCTATTTTCAGACGCAGGAAGATGTTGCCTTATGTGGAAATAGTCCTGTTGTCTCTGCACTGACTGTGGAACTGAGCAAAGAAACCTTGGACACTATGTTAGAAGGTCTGGGAAGAATCCGGGACCAACTTTCTGCTGTTGCAAACAAATGAATACTCAAGGATATGGATTCCAGCAGTGAGGAAGGGAAGTATTCTCCACCTATAGCTCTCACAAGTGGCAGCCTAGCATAAGATGTTTCCTGTTGTAACAAAACAATATCAAAGAGATTTCTTGATTGAGTTAGGATAGCTTTTGAAAAGCTAACACTTAAACCTTCCTTTGGTCTGATGCCAGAAAGTGTTTTCCTAAGATGTTGTTGAACAAAAGCTGGTCTCTATTTTAGAATAGGATTTGAGGTCTCAGAGCTTGGCTTAATCACAAGGTTCATAACTGGAAATAGCAAATAGCTGCAGCCAGTGAAGCAAGTGCTATCTCTCTGCCTTGAAATTAGGATCTAAAAGGCATAAGCTGTTTGATGGGCTGCCTTCCAGCACTAGCAGGAAAGGGTGCTTCTCTGTGGAACGTGCATGTACTGATGTGTGTGCTGGATGTAGCAGTTCCTCCCTCTCAATGAGGCACAGCCGTGCTGCAGGTTGTTATTACAGACTAATGCTTTGAAATAGGGCAGTTATGCTACAACACATTCCCTCTTGATCAGCTTCATAGCACCATTTGCAAAATGACTAGTCTGAACATCTTTAGCAGCAAGTAATTTCCTACTTCTGTTTGAAAAGAAAAAAAAGAAGTTCAGATAATTCATGTTTGGGTTTATTACGCTCTGGGCTTTGCCTTCACTGCACAAAAGACAGACTGGGAAAGTAAAGAATTGATGGCCATTGTCTGTACACAGGAGGAAACCCTCCTGTGGCAATATGTGCCTATACTTCCCCGAAGTATTCTGCTGTTTGTTTATATAATTCTTCCTTTAATTAAAAAATGAACTGATAATTGATTTTGTGAATCATTTTGAGGCTAAAAGAGATGTTGTCCTGGGTTACCTCAGCGTCTTTGTGATGGTGCTAGTTTGTAGGCTGTTTAATGGATCTTTACATTTGTTGCTGGAGAGAGATCTTTTGTTTCCTGTTCAAATGGATTCATCTTTTAAAATGTCTTGTCTTCATTATAATACAGTTTCAATACACCTTTTTGCATGGACGCCAGCTCTGTGCAATATTACAGGTGATGATCCTGACCTAAAAACATATGTGTTGAAAGTGTAGAGGAGTAAGTGCAGAAAATGAACAAAATTCAGATGTTTCTTTCTGATAAGCTTCTATAATGCTCCAGACTAGAAGACAGTTCTTCAGTTTGAGGAACTTCTGTCACCTTTGCAGCCTAGTCTTAAAAAAATCCCCAAAAAAGTGTTTATTTTAGAAGGTAAGGCTCACCAAGGAGGTAAATGATGCATAATGAAGTACTCACAATGTTAGAGGAGCTGAGGGAGTGAATACACAGAGGAAATCCTCGAGGTAAATACTATAGCTACAGCCAGAATGTTGTAGGGCCTAATGAAATGAAAAACTGATAGTCGCATAGAGTTCTCTTACACACTCATTATACAGGTATAGAATTGAAAGAAAAGAAAGACTTAAAACTGAAAAGCTTTTCCAGTGTCCGAGTGGTGCTAGCTGCAGGCAGCTAAAAGTTGCTTGTGAAGACTTAAAGGGGGCTGTCCACTGGATCAGAGTCAGGACAAAGATGTGACAACTTCAAGGGGTATAGCTCAAGTCATTCTGCAAGAAAGCTGTCAGAGCTTGCCTTCAAATCTTGCCTCAAGCGATATGTGTTTTCTTGTTGGCTGTTATCACTTTTGCCAGAAGAGCTGAGACAGCTCAAAAAAACAGGTGCATAAAACAAGACAGGGTGAGTGAGACTGTCATTACCTGACCAGCAAGAATATTTCACATTAAAGTTCTATTTACAGAGACAGCTGCGCAGGAAGAGAGTAATACGCCTGCTAGTGCAGGCAGTCATACGTGATCTCTTTCATAAAATGATCTCAAAATCAGTTACATTTTATCCTCCTTCCATGTACTGCTGCTATTTGGTAGGCTAGCCTAAATGTATTCAGAACTACTTTATTACCTGCTTGTTCCTGAGCCAGCACTCTCTTCTTCAGCTTTCAGTTTTTGCCAGCTGAGATGAAACCATGACACCCTCCTGCTTACGAAGCAGTAAAATCTCCCTCCGCTTTTGATGGTTGGGCCTAGTAAGCCCTATATTCTGTGCCTTTCAGCATTGCAGGGGCTATTCTTCACTCTAGTTTGCATCTCCCTTGAATGGGGTCACCACAGGTGTTCATTTTGAGAGAAGAATAGTTCAAGGACATCAATAAAGAATAGAGCTGGTATAGTACGTGAATCACCTGAATGAACTCCTCCCAAGAAAGCACAAGCCTTGGTTGGGAAGTGGAGCTCAAAAATTCCATTTTCATTCCAGTATTTGAGGGATAGAAATAACACCTCCTACGTGTACACTGTATATCAAGTGATAACTCAATTACACTAAGCAAAGCAGTGTAACTGAGTTAATACATACATTTGTTTGTAAAACACAAGTATGCAAGTTAAATTTGAATTATAATTTCACCGTTCGGACATTGTGTTGGATTTGACTACGTCAAAGCATTGAAAAAGCATTAAAAACTTTAAAGCCTACTTTGTATTATTCTGAATGAAATTTTGCTTTCTCTTACTACAAGAAATGTGTACTTCAGGGTGTTCAGGCTAAACGTTGTGTAGATGGGATTGGGAGGAAGAACAACTTGGGAAGAAAATGCCTTTAGGATTCCCAGCTTCAACTTCAATTAATGATCTTTAAATGTTAGTTTAAAACAGTATGAACAGCAAAACATATTTAAAACAGTAGAAGACTATAAGACTCATGATGGTTTGGTACAGGTATAATAGTTACTCTGTTTTTAAGGTTTGGGTTTGTGAAATTTCCATGTTCAAGCTCTACCAAAACTATTATCTATATGAAGTTTTTGCTTGTTTGTAACAGAGATGTTGTTATTTCATTTCACATATCATGAGTAGTCATCCTGTTTAGAATTGTTTTGGCCTAAGTAAAAAATACTAGTTGCAATTTTTTGGTACCCAATTTTCCAATAGAGTTTATATTTAACAGCATATATGGGACCCCCTGCCCAGATCAGGACTGAAAAGGTGGTTTTTTTTGTAACAAACCTCTTAAGTGAACATTGCTCTCCAAAATCACAACAGCCCAGCTTATTCTCAGTTCTTGGTGCTAGCAATAAGGTGTAATTTCCTTAGCTGCTTTATAACTGTAGTTACTCTGTATCACACCCCTACAAAAGTAACCAGTTTAATGAATTCATCAATCTTTCTCACATACCCCTGAAAAAATTCACCTCACTAAGCTGTAAAGAGGTAAAGTAGTTGTGTAAGGTTGCAATAAACCAGTGATAGCACCGTGGGTTGAGGAATCCTACCTCCCCAGACCCTTTTCTAATTACTTGACCCCTTAGAAACTTTATTCCACAACACAGCAATTACACTAACTGTCACATATTTTCCCCATCTACACAGACATTGTGCAGGTAGCTGATGGTTTTTGCTCTGTTTTTCATAGAATCACAGACTGGTTTGGGTTGGAAGGGACCTTACAGCTCATCCAGTTCCAGCCCCCTGCCAAGGGCAGGGACACCTTCCACTAGACCAGGTTGCTCCAAGCCCCATCCAAGCTGACCTTCAACACTGCCAGGGATGGGGCAGCCACAGCTTCTCCGGGCAACCTGTGCCAGGGCCTCAGCACCCTCACAGGGAAGGACTTCTGCTAATAGGTTTTCATAATATTTTTTTCCCTGATATTGTTGATGTAAGAAGTTGCTAAAGCTTGGGACATTTGGGCCTTGCCTGATACTGTCACCTCCAATGTATAACTTGATTAATGCAATGTAATTTAGACTCCATTTGGCTTACCACTTTACAATAACCACATCGGGGATATCAATGTAGTAGAACAGTCCTGCTAAATCCGTAAGTATCCTTAGAAGCCTCATGGCAGGCATCAGTTTTTTGAAGTGACATACAACTATCTGCGACTAATCAGTAGCTACGACATCTGCTGTAGCTTTCATGATGTCCCTGTTCTCGCAGGGCATACGTGGCAGTTGCCAAACAGTCTTTAACATTTAGAGTACATTAAGAACCTGACCCTGCATCTGCTCAATACTCTACAGAACTCTTTTCTGGGGTTATTAATGCATACAAGTTGTCCTGGGTTCAGCTACAGCAGTC